AAGAATAAACAACCAAATTTCACCTGTTTACACGGTAGGCAGAGAAATACTGTTGGTCTGGTTAGGAGTTCTTAAACACATTTTATATTGTTTTATGTCGGAATTAAGTGCAGTCTCGTCATATTTAAATTTTGACCTGTACGAAAGAGAGCTTGTGCGAAGGCCATTAATCATTTTAAATGATGCAGAGACTTCGTTATATTACATATTTTCTTTATCTCTCTAATCTTGATCTTGCTTAGCATGAAAGTGTGACGTAGGCTACATCGTACTTCTAGCATTCCGAACACTTATATTGTTACATGAGGGCCTTTTTTATCTTAACAAAAAATATATGACACACCTCTTCATTCCACTTAACAAACAGAGTGCTTGAAAACTTCACAGGTTTTTGTGTAAGTGGGCCATGTAATAGCCAGAAATATGATCGTCGCACTAAATATAAGTGATATAATTGGTATAGAAAATAATTAATGGTCGTTCGAGTTGGATTATCTTCTCCTTTTCGTGGAATGAAACATGTGTGTATATATTTTTGTTAATACATCTGTAATTGTTAGAAGTCTGTCAATAAAATGATGAATAAAACCATAACTAACTTCTAAAAGAAATACTGAAAAGCATCTTAAAAATTGTATCGAAATGAGAGATATTGACGCCCACATTTTACCTGCACCTGAAAAATGGGTTCAACACAGGTGAACATTAACTGTTCCCGAAGCGTTTTTTTTTTACTCTATCGCCCTACAGTGGTAATCTAGCAATCACTGCTCCTACGGTAATTCTTTTAGTTGCAATGCTGAGATCAATTACGACTAGACTTGTAACTGTCTGTTATCTAGGTAGCTATTTCATATATTTATGAAGATGTAGTTACTGCTAAAATATATACATCGCCCTACAACTCACTCCTTATAAAAACACACCCTTCATAACAAGAAGAAAAATATTGGAAGGTTATTTTTCATCTTCAAAAACCGAGAACATGAATGTTTTGTGGTAAATCCATGTCTATATCATGGAAAAAAGCGTGTGCACCATTCACCCGACATGTGGTTTCTCCATAAATCAAAACACAAGTGATCACTATGAGGATAAAGGGCACTGTTTTCTGACAAAAAATCAGTGACTGTTTTAACGTTTGTGGTGCTCTTCTTGTGTATTGAAGAACCTTTACTCCTACGAGTATGCTAACCATGTCCATTGTCTCTACACAGCTTTCCTTATATCCGGAAGTCAGCAGCATGCCTATCTATGGTGACAGGCGTGTCATAAGATGTGACACGCGTTGAATAATGCATCGACACTCCGCAAAATGAGGACACCTCAAAGATTACTCAACCCGCCTTCTTTTTAATGTAGGATGATGGCTGTTTGTACACTTGTCGACTTGGTCTAAAAGGCGGATGGTTTTTCAAAATTGGGACAGAGTTTCACAATATTGACAGAGTCAGACTTTTCCAACAGTGACAGTAAGACTTCTTTCAGAAAACACCGGTGTCAATCGCGGGGGGAGTTTCCCTTTTTTTACGCGAACAACCTAAATAAGGCTGAATGCATAGATAGATGCAAGCTCTTTTCTTCTAATAATTCCGTTTTAAAAGATAATCCTTTTTAATTTTTAATTCCTGGCATCATGTTTTATAAGCACTAATTTTCATTGTCTTGACTCAGACTTCTTGCAAATGTGTTTTTAAACAGCACTTAGTGCCTGGTGAAAATGATATGAGCTGCTGAATTAATCCTGGGCAACAATTACAATTCCTTTCAAGTTTATATCTCTCTTAATGCTCGGACTAATGACCACACCACCTAGGACAAGGCATAATAAAGTGCCCCACAGGTAGGCTAGGAGATACTAGTAAAGCCGATATATGAAACGAACGGGTCACTGCGAGGAGCATTTCTTGACAAAGGACCCGTTAACTCTTATCCTGCGGTACCGTTTGAGAGGTTCTACAGTGTAAGTTCAGCTCGTTAGATGGATGTCTGTCCCCCTGTTACACCGTTGCTGCCCGCTGCTTAGGAGCAGTCAAGGATGTGGGAACCATTTCCTAGCATTTTGGGAAATAAACCGGAATCGTTGATGACATTAAGCACGAATATGATAAATCTCGTTGCTCTGAATCTTTGGCCTTTGCCGATCCTCTTTTTTTCTGCGAGAGATCACTTGTTATTTATTTGGTCTAATGTGAGTTTGTAACACCTAGCAATAAATTTTGTTTCTTTAATTACCAATCAGTGGTTCTCACCTTCGGACTATTATAATTATTTATTCAAACCCAAGATGATTCTCGCTCACCACCCTATCACCCTTTTTCTACCCCACACTCCATACCAGCTGCATATACATTCTTTCTCAGATACAAATACCAGCCGGCCTTGCTGAATGTATAACTTATTTTGCTTTCAAGACACAACGCACATATTTCACCGCCAATTTAAACATTTAAACTGGTTCGCCCTCTGTACATCGCTGCCATGCTCACTTCTTAAAATATTTACACTTTATGTGATAGGACTGCGTACATTAAAAGAGGCCTCTATCCATGCGTCTCACGTATTAGACAGCGACTTAATTTTTTTCCATCTTTTGCAAGTGAGGTTTTTAAGATTGGAGATAACCTGCAAGTCATAAAGTAATATATCATTACCACATAGATTGACCCAAGACGGTAGAAAAGCCATGTATGAATTCCAACCAGATAAAAAAATGTATCAGTTTTTTTAAATGTTACAGTAGTCAAAAAGACACCCCTTGTGCGAATATGATATTACTACATATGCGTCTTGTTGAGCGCTAAGAAAGATATAAATTCCTGATCCCCGTGGCATGCTATCGTCTTAGGTGACAAGTTTGGGCTGTCAGGTGTACAATAAACATTAGCGGTGATGTTTCAAGTGACAACAGGAGATCATGACAAATGACGGGCCGCAGGACCAGCCCTTTCAAGTAATGTGATAAAACATGTACTAACGGCACATAACCTAACCCAACCAGGTGGTAATCTTTTTAGGTTTAGAATTATAAGGGAAAATGAGGCATTTGCCCCGATAGCTTGAAGCCGGCATAAGGTCAGTTTCAAATTCAATCGTGTAAGGAAACAGGGTTGCCGGGATCACATAATTCAAACTGTAGATGTATCGGTTGCTAACCACGTTATCAACAATAGTTTATACCTCAAAACAAAAACAAGTCATCTTCAAATTAAAATATTTGCCAAAAAAATAGCAACAATAAACATAAGTTTTGCTAATCAAATATGAAATACTAAATATTTGGAATGGAAGATCGTTGGCTCTCTAGCGGAGGGTAATAGCCTTCATGAGACCAAACGGAGTCCCTTTCTCCATTAGTTAACATCAAAGGATGCGCTGGTATTACCTGCAACGTACGTGTCTCAACTGCCAGATGCCGTGTGTTGAGTTGGTGGAAAGGGCGTTGCAATTATGGAAGCTATAATTCTTTAAGAACAAAAATTAAGACAGTTGTTGGTCTGGGGTTGCTGCATCAACCGCTACATTGCTTAAAAACCAGTTATAAATCAGCCCAACATAGATCATTACAATGATTGTGTGTACCGGAGGTTGATGTACTAGATATAATTATATAAACCACTCGGAACAGGAATCAAAAATGATCAACACAGCTACCCTTAGCTGCGTACATCGCTACTTCAGGTTTGCGTTAACCGCCGAATTGGATGGAAAGATTACCATCTTGAATAATTTGTCGATCTCGCTTTGCAATATCTTTTTATATCAAAATGTGTCGATGCATAATACAGTGTAACAACAGAAAGTGCGTTATTATGAGGATATTTTCATAAAACAATAGTACTTCAGCACATATGCTCATGGAACGATAAATTTTAATATATTAAAACAGTCTGTAAGAATAAGATTTACAGAAAAACATTTTGTACTTTCGTGAATCTTATGCTTTGTGATCTTAGCACTTCTTTCAAATTATGTAAGATGGCATATGTCACGACAACCGGATTATAATCACCTAAACTTAAAATGTTTATGAAATTTTATTCATGAATAGAACATTGAAGATTGTTATTAACTGTGACTCAAGTTTGAAATTACAGTTCCTTAGCTGTTAATTGTGATAACTGAATTCATTTATGTAATGTATTTTGTGGTTGAATGATAAATACAAAATACTAATAGACATAACATAAACGAACAGATGTCTGACTGAAAATACATTTTATAGACATGGTTTACTAAGCGTATACCAGATGAAGGCTGTCCTATATAACGCCTTCATAGCGTGTTACTAATAACTACGCTCAGTTATTTACCCTCAGGTCGAATTGGGTGATATATTGTACAGTCCGCTCGAATAGTATTTATGGTTTGGTTCAAATGGTTTGCAAACTTTCCTGTTTGGATGTTCCTGCACGCCATATTTTTTGTGATGACTGAACATACTGCATCATGAAACAGCACAGGCGCAAGAACACATGAATCTTTTTATATGATGGGGTAATTAAATCTACAGCGAGTAGTTATTTGAGAATAACCTGTGCAAAAATCAAGGTGTGCTCAGTATGATTCATTTTGCTACCTCAGACGAAAAACTGTCTGTGTTAAATTAGAACTTTCATTAGATAAACAAGCGGCCTCCTATCAAATATCAAGCAATTTCATTGGCGCGTTGCTTCTTCTGGGATTACCTGTTTTGGAAAGCCGCATTTGCATACGCTGCTTACCTCAACGCGAGTGCAACTGCCTCGTTATCAGACGGGGGACTCCGCAAAAAAGGGCTACCCGATCTGCTCTTTATGAAGTTATACATTAAGCCGGACTAATTTCCAATCTATTGATATATCGCAGTAGGATTCCTTATAGAAAATTAGGACGGCAATACTTATTTGTGATACAGTTCACTGAAGGTGTTATAAGCTCCTTCAGATAAAGGTAAGCAATTTTCGTTAGTCAAGATAAGAACGTCTATTTCAATATTTAAATAGAACTCCCGTGATAGCAAATAAGAGAACACAGTTGTTTTATTCCAAGCGCCGTGTACTTGAATGAGGTTATCCTTGGTGCACAAGCGTCTGGTCGTGGTATATACAATAACAACTGTGACGCGTAAAATATAGGTCTCATATCGTCTGTACAGCTTTGCGGTAAACATAGGATACCTCAAAAACTTATCCAAACCTCGAGTTAACTTCTCAGAGGCTCGGTTTAACCAACGGAAATGCGAAGAAGGTGAATCAGATGTTAGAGTTGACAACGGAATAGAAGATCCCCTTTAAAAGCCCAGCCCCGCCACCGACCTGATCAGCCAGTTAAACAAACGCTCCGTGTGACACAATTTAAGGGGGCAACATCGCGTCGGTGTGGTGTGGTGACTCAATTTCCTAAACAGGTAAGCCTGCAAAACCGGCTCTGTGTTTTATTAAAGCCGGGCTATGCGAACACGTTATTTGTTTATGAATGTATGCCATGACCGACCTTTAATAGAGCTGAAACAAGGAGTGCCAATACCTTTGCAACCTAGTGTTCCACTAGACAGTAGTAATTTTAGTTTGTCTTTTTATGTCGTAGGATAAACCGGAACAGCTGATAGAGAGAGAGAGAGAGTGGAGGGAAGATCAGTGACTCCAGTGAAAATGCAAACGTGAATCCGACGTCAACACCGTAACCCAGTCTACTTGTCTGGTTCGCCCGCTGCGGACCAAAAAGCTTACAATATGGCGACTGGATATATAGTTCAAGCTTACCAAAGGACTTGGAGGAGATTTATTTTATTGTTGTTTTTTGTTGCGAACATCGGTGAAGCGATACGACTTAACGGAAGAGAGAATTCCTATGCTCAATACTCAAAATGGCACGCGTGCGTGCACTCCACTCTAAGTTTTGAGTTTAAGACAAGAAACCGGGTAGGTTTATTATTTTACATGGATGACACTCGGGGAGGTTATGATATGATGAAAATGAAACTTGTGGGTGGTAGACTCCAATTTGTATTGAATTTTGTAGACGGCAATGAAGGTAAAGTCAGCTTTAATCCCGAGGGAGTCTTCAACGACGGTCGTTGGCACACGGTCGAAATAAAACGAAATCGAATGGAAACCATTCTAATAACAGATGGAAATCAAAATCAAAAAATTGCCATAGGATCAAGATCAGATTTTAACTTCGGAGAAATAAGCCAGAACTCTCCTATGTACTTCGGTGGTATCCCAAGCATAGAAGAAAGACCATTAAACACATATGTCGATACCCGAGTTCAGTTCGAAGAAAGATTCGAGGGATCTTTTAGAAATATTATTTATTCAAATTGTACGAGCCAGCGAGTCAGGGCGATTTTGGAAAAGTCACAGGGGATGACACGGGATAACGAGGATCCCTGTGACACGTACAACTCCTGTAACCCAGGCTGTGTGTGTGTGACATCAAACAGAAATCAACCCAAATGTGATTGCAAGGACGCTCTCAGGGGCCCCACTACCGACGCAGGTAAACAAATTTTATTTATTTTTAATTTGTGCACAATATTTCATTTCACCAGGCACATAATACAGTCCAAGAAATCCTTTTAGTGGTAATATATGTGTATGTGCACACACACGCAAACACGCATTAATCTGAAAATGTCCTCACATGATAAACCAGGTCGTTTCAGTACACCCGTATACCATGTTATAAAATCCGTCCTATTTTTCTGTAACGCATATTCTATGCATATACCAGCACTTTGTCATGAATTAACTTTGTATGAAGCGTACACAGTTCACTGCTTCCAGCTTTGTTATCACGGCGTGTGTGCATTACTAAATGGACCGTGTTGCTTGCAGGTAGACATTTTTTTCATATCATATACCCGAAAGCAATGATCAACGTTGCAGACCTGGCGTCGTCTGTCAACGTCTTTACAGCTGACAATATAACTCTTCTCCGACGTACTTTCTACAGGGTTTATTCCTCATAGGCCACCCATAGGTATAATCAATAAAATGTAACCCCCCTTTTCAGCTAATCGCCGAAATTTAAACCTATGTGAAGTAACAGATTCCCCATGAGTTTCATCATAATACGAGGTGGTCATTGAACATCAATAATAGCTTCATGAGCATGGTTTATATATAAATGTGCATAAATTGGGGTAAGGACCCATTGTCGCGGCGTCAGACTGTAGTTCACATTTCAAAGCTTGCCTCAATGCCGTGGCCAGAAATTTACTCAGGTGCAGGCCCCTGAACGAAAATATCTTCTATAATGGATCATTGGGGATGTTTTATTGACGCTTCAAGGGATGCTTTTTGACTGCTCGGGGCATGTTTGGTTTTATGACGATTCATTAAATAGACATTCTAATATTACATGATTTCATATAAGCACATAATGTCGTTATTGTTAATTCGCGCGAAGTCAAGCAGGACAGCGTATAACCCTTTAAGTCTGGCATCACAACCGTTGTAGATTAACATTAAAACATCTTTCCTTGGCTGTGGTAGCTATCTGCTAGCGAAAACTTCACAATAGTGTTGGTCAGGTGAAATTACACGATCAGACTGCCTGTGCTTGTGCAATCTATCAGACTGAAATATACTCACTTCCTCCCGGTCTCTGCCCACATTTTTCTTCCATCATTGGGCTTAATGTGAAACTTATTACCGGAATCATCACTTAATCTTATGCAATCGTATTTATTAAGATGCTCGGTCAGCGTTGCGTCTTCATCTACCTACAGTACAAGGTGAGAAAATGAACACCAGCTGCCAGGGAGTGATAGGCCCGTATTGCCTAAACTTCAGTCAAAAGATCAACCAGGGGTCATGTTTGCCGAGCGTATTTTAAAGGTTTCGTTGCTCTGCACGATGCGACCGAGTTTAAATAATCTCTTGGCGGAAATGAAAAAATAACGCTATTAATGTAAACGTACCAGACCATGGTTAGGTCCTAATTGCATCATATAGTGTATATCTGAGAGCAATATTCACTGTGGGTTAGTTCATATAGACTTTCATTTATCGGCCAAATTATATGAAAAAAAAATAAGTGTAACTACTCATTATTCATGTGTGTCTTTGAGACTGTTCCATGCTATTATTTGCAGCAGTTATTTGCTCTTCCACTATAATTATTTTAGTCCGGGATAAAAAAAAAATGTCTGAAAGAAAGGTATGCTCTTGCGTATGTGTCAAGTATTTCATTTAAGGGAAAGAGGTCTGAGAGGTGTGTTGATAATGGGCCGTTTTTCACATTAATTAAGCCAGTTTTACACCTACCTACAGCCTACCTACAGTGATTCAGAAACATCAGTGATGGGCTAGGCGTCCATCTGATGAGCGTCCCGAAATAACTTTTTAGCTTTCTAGTTAACAGCTAGGCCAAGCACACAGTGAGTTTGTCGAGATCGTTGGAGCAAAGAGCAAAATGTTAGCTTCTTGAAAATGTTAGAAGCTTTAGCTGTCAGATGTCAGCGATTAAGAGAGAGAGAGAGAGAGAGAGAGAGAGAGAGAGACTTGCCAGTCCCGCCAGGGATCTCAACCACGATTCAAATGTCTCAAATCCCCTGCCCAAATGCAGACCCAGCCTACAAAATTGTTTCCCAACACCAATAACTCGAGAGAGAGAGAGAGAGAGAGAGAGAGAGAGAGAGAAAATAACTTTCGCTGTATGAGTGATTTCAATTTTATGATAGAGAGAATGAACGAATGAAGATACAAGTATGAGAGAGAGGGTAGCATTAAGGAGAAGAAGAACAGAATGTTCATATGTCAGCATGGACTACTTATTGCACCTCCATTCATACAATATTAAACACCCCAGTGAAGTATTAAGATATATTTATTGAATGAATGTAAACAGAGAATTGACATCTTCCACTTAGTACAGCTACAAGGATACTAGACTTTTACCTTTCATCTTCTGAACGCATACTTCCCCTTTACCTTATTTGCCGAGCCAGGTAATACAGAGCTTAACTGTATGGAAAAGGAACGCACATTTCATTAAATTGCCCATTTTTTTCTTCGGAATGCCCTCAGCATACCTGAGCTTCAGCCTCAAAATACTTCTCTTGATTCATTAAATACAGGCATTTGAATAACTGCGAGATAACTTAAGAAAACAAGACGAAACGATTCCCTGCTGTATTTTGACATAACTATAAACTGCTTCAAGCGCCGTTTCTGAAATTACAAGAATTAAAACGTTATAGAACTGGCATCAAAATAGTAACAGAAAATTACTTAATGTGCCAAGCCATCTCAGAACCAGAAATGTAAATACTTCAAGTCCTCTTCAACAGTAATACGTAAATATTGAAGCCTGTAACAAACAATGGTGGCGTTTGCCTGACATGTGATATGGGGTTTTTGCCTACAGAAACAACCGACCTGCGTTCACACTGTGTTAAAACGTCTGAGTTTTTTAAAGAAAACAAAACAGACCTTTTGTCTCGGTGGATTGCACAAGAGCACGTAATATTTAAGTTTGCCTCATTTGCATGCAATAGAAACTGTCTAAAACGATTTGTTGTCGACAAAAAGTGATGGTTGTTCGAAGTAACAAGACATTGCATTTTCTTCATTTTTAAAATTCCCTAAGAAAAGAAAGTATAAGTAAAAAAAACTCCAGAAGTATTTAGGTATCAAATAAGCAAATAAAGATTGTAAACTTAATACAAGAAAATGGAATATGACGCCTTTTGCTTCTCATATTTCTATTTCTATTAGTCAAATTGACCATTAGTCGTAGGGTTGGGCCAGTAAGCGGACTACCATACACTATACCTGAGGCAATGCGACAACATTATTTTCATCGGCTGCTTAACCTTCTCCTGAACTCTTAAAGAGTGATTAATTGTTTGCTGAATAAGGACAACGTCCACTTACTCCAGTTGTAGATATTTTGTAACAGGTCGTTTGAATCTAGATTTATTCTAAATTATTGCGCCTGAATACAAGATGAAGTATACAGTGTGTTTCTTTATATCTGAGTCCTGTGCATAAGTGCCTATTGTCTCTCTCATGCGTTATATATTATATTATATAAAAACAAGAAAATGTATATGTCATGCCCCTCTTATACCGAAAACCCATGGCAGGCTGATTATTCGTTAAAAGGTTATACAAATTCCAGTACACTGTACCCCTATTACTTTTCCCCATATATCATGTTCACTTAGCCGCCGTTGACCAAACTGTTGGCGTTTTATTTTGGCAACGAAACAACTAAATTGTTCGAACTGAAAGCTAAGTGCTGCTCTCCTTGTATCTCAACAAAATTTTCCGAATTACGAGAGAGAGAGAGAGAGAGAGAGAGAGAGAGAGAGAATGGCTGACGGAGAAACTTTTTGGACAGCGGTTCACATGTTTTTGATTGACGTTCCAGGAGACGTCTGCCAGTGCTTAAATTACCAGCAAAGGCCACACCTTTAAGGTCACGGCATCAGCAGTTACGCAACATTTAGATAAAAAGTAACTGCCGTTGCTTGACATCAAACCAGTAGTTAGAGCACGCGGAGCCCCGCGTCTTTATGGGGATTTATTTAATAACTTATGAGAGCTCAATACGTGGAAATAAAGGGTTGCGGCAGAGACCCGTGCCTGGCACAGTGAGAAAGGCGTTTTGATGTACTCCTTGAAATAATCAATATGTGTGTGTGTGTGTGTGTGTGTGTGTGTGAGAGAGAGAGAGAGAGAGAGAGAGAGAGAGAGAGAGAGAGACAGGTAAAAAGGTGGAGCGAGAGAGAGGAAAAGGGGTCGGCGAAGTTATTTCATATTCATCTAAGCATATGATATAAGAGTTATTTCATCTATACTAGAACACTAGTTAAAAGAGGTTTTGTGTTTGGCTCCTATTTTAAATGATATGTTTTTTCGTTCTTAAAAGAACGTCTAGTTAGCTGTCGGTAAACAAATGTGTCAGCACTCTATGGAGACTAGTAAATTTTAAAACAGTAGGATTCGCGTTTTCTGTGCTGTATTGTCTTAACCTGCTGTTCAGTAACGTCGAATATGAAATCCCCCAAATGGCAAAAAATGCAGAAACAAACGGTTTCGATTTAAATGCTATTAGAACAATCATCGTCAGGTACTGCAGAGTAGAGAGTGAAATTTGATTTATTTGTGTTGCCTACTTCCTCACCGATCTTTTGGGACAGTAGTTTGCGTTTAGTGCAAAATGTGCCTTTATGGAGAACATTTCATTTGTTAAAGATATATTTTGATCCAGGTTACCGACAACTTAAATTACGCATAATTTAGCCACCTTTTTAAAATTACCGTCCGCAACATGCAGCAAATGGATGGGTTTAATCAAGTGAAATTGGAAAACAGAAAGAGTGCGACATGCATCACCACTTGTGCATAATACTTATCAAAACAGTAAACTCCTATTGCGCCAGAAAAGGCGAAGTTACAAAAACAGTTGCCCCACGCAAAAAAACATGACCCAAAACTCTCACAGTCCTGTTTTTTACCGTTCAGCAACTCTGAATGATAGCTAAC